CCGGCACCCCACCAGGCGTTGTTGCGGTAACAGGGCTGTCCCCCTGCAGAGGGGCTGAGCAGACCCCAGTAAATAACTGCCGGAGTCACCCCACCGCTGAGCGTGGGGGAGATGCTCGGGGGACTGCCAGCTGCACTGATAGGATTAGTGCTGCGGCAGCCGGGAAGCGACGGTGTATAAATGGCCCCGAGGCTGCTCCTCCTGTGCCTTCGGGCTGTGTCCGGTTAATGAGGAAAACAAGTTACGCGGCACTGCAGCGCTGCGGGAGGGAAGGGAGCCGGTCCCCGGCGGCAGGGCGCGGGCAGGGATGCGGGCAGGCAGGACGGGGCGGTCCCGGATGAAATCGGGCAGAAATTTCCTGTGGGTTTGAAAGCGGAGCAGCTCTGACCCCCGGCCGCTCAACAGGGTCCCGCTGGCGTGGATGCAGTGGGGTTTGATGTTGCAGAGATGAATTCCCTGCTTGTAACTTTGGTGTTTTCAGGCGCTGCAGCACGTTGCGGCCGCGGGCAGAGTGTGCTCGTGGCAGCGCTGTCAAAGGCGATGTGGCAGTCGCGCCGCGGTCGTACGGAGGTGCCGCTTCCACTCTTTGGTTTCAAAAAGACCTGGACAAAAGTGGAAACTGTCCCTGGTCACCCATGGGCAGCCTGGCATACAGGTCAGAGACCCCTGTTGTGGAGCACCCCAGCCTGCTGCTTGGCCTAGAAGGTCTTACCGGCACGGTCAAGGTCACGCGGGAGCTGGGAAGCACTGCCAGGACTGCCAGGCTGCTGCCGTGCCTGCACGCGTCCCTTCCAGAAAGGCAGCCAGGAAATAAAAAACCCCATTCTCGTAGGAGAACTCGGCTGCTTTAAGCACAAGAAGCCCCATGGTTGCAGGACGCTGCTTGCTGTGACGCGCAGTGCCTTTTCCTCGATGTCCGAGCAGCAGCAGAGACCGTTTTGGCTTTGCTGATGTGATGTACAGCTGCTGCTGCCGCCCTACAAACAGCTGGAGGGGAGAGCCCCGTGCCAGGGGAAGGCAAATCCATGGGGATGTGGTGCTCAGGGCCACACAAGGCTTGATGGGGTGGGACACCCTTACCGCAGG